ATGGATACCTAGATTCCATGGATTTGGAATCCTATGGACAATGTGAATCTTGTCTAGCTGGGAAAATGACTTGTCACAAGCCCAAAGGGCTTGAGAGTCATAGGGCTAGTGAGTTATTAGAACTCATTCACACTGATGTTTGTGGGCCAATGTCTATAGAGGCTAGAGGAGGATACTCCTATTTCATCACCTTTACTGATGACAAATCAAGATTTGGGTACGTGTACCTAATGATATATAAATCTGAAGCCTTTGAAAAGTTCAAGGAGTTTAGGAATGAAGTAGAGAAACAGCGTGGCAAGATGATTAAGACATTACGATCAGATCGTGGTGGTGAATATCTGAGCCAGGAGTTTCAGGATTATCTGAGAGAAAATGGAATTCTCTCGCAGTTTACTGCACCTTACACACCACACCAAAATGGTGTCTTCGAAAGGAGAAACAGGACCTTGTTAGACATGGTCAGGTCTATGATGAGTGAGACTCAACTTCCAAAATCGTTTTGGGGATATGCCTTAGACACAACGACATTCTTTCTAAATAGGGTACCGTCTAAATCTGTTCAGACCACACCATATGAGATATGGAATGGTAAGAGACCCAACCTGAGTTACCTCAGGGTATGGGGATCGCCAGCTTATGTCAAAGTGTTGGCATCAGACAAGCTTAGTGCTAAGAGTACTAAATGTCTATTTGTGGGGTATCCCAAAGGTACTAAGGGATACTACTTTTACTCCATGGATGAACACAAGGTGTTTGTGTCAAAGAATGCTGAGTTCCTTGAGAAGGATTTGATCTCTCAAGGAGCCAGTGGGAGTAAGATTGATCTTGAAGAAGTTCAAGAACCACATGAACAGATTGAGGAACCCGAGTCTGCTCCGCAGGCGACGTTCTCCAATGGAGAAGTAAACACACAACTCCGTAGGTCAATGAGGGTCATCCATCCACCTGAGAGGTATGGGTTTGTGATTGAGAATCATCAAACCGTCGAGGACGATGAACCAAGTAACTACGAAGAGGCAGTCAAGGATGTTGACTCTTCTAGATGGCTTGAAGCCATGGAATCTGAAATGGATAAACCGCAAGGAATAGTTTTTAAAAGGCATATCCCCAAGGAATAGTTCCTATCGGTAACAAATGGGTCTTTAAAAGAAAGACTGATGCAGATGGAAGCAAAAATCATCTGATCCAATTCTTTTAGTTTGATCATGTAATCATTCATTTGGTTTGATTTTTTTTTCAAATCTGATCCAATCCAATCCAATTTTTTCGGTTTAGATTGGTTCGATTTTCGATTTTTTGAAAATCCTAAATATTGTTTTATGATTATTGTGCAAATAACATCTTTTGTATATATTGGTTTTGTAATTTTATTTATTTTTAAATACAAAAGCATAAATAAATGATAATATAGTTTTTGTTTTTTGGAAAATGAGATATATATGAACTTCTACATAGATGAAATTTTGTTGATAAGATGTGACTAGGTTTTTTTTTTTGGATTTAGTTTATGGGTTAATGGGTCTTGGGTTTAGAATTTTTGAGTTATGATTAGGAAAAGACCCAAGTAGGTAGAGAGAAATTAATATATTGGATCGGAATGGATTAGATCGGTTTTAATCTACCAATCCAAAAACCAATCCAATCCAATTAAAATTTGCGGTTCTTTTTCAGTTTTTGATTTTTTTGTTTTTGGTTTATTCGGTTATCGGTTTTTCGGTTCGGTCACCGCGGTTTGAATCGGTTTAGATCAGTTGATGAACACTCCTATTTGAATCATCGCTTACTTTTTTTTTTATGTTTCTATATAATTTTTTCTATTTTTAAAATAATAGCATCCTTATATCGTAGTTGTAGGTTTTTTTTTACCTTTTTTCCCTTCGTTAATTAATTAATAATTATTTTGCCCCTTATCCAAAATTATCTACCAAACTGCCCCTCTTTAGTTGATTAACTTGAAGGTTTAATCGATTAAATGGTCAAAACTAGCAAAAAATTATTGACTTGAAGATTTAATCGATTAAATATCCCTGTTAATTGATTTAATCGATTAAAACTTATATTTAATTGATTAAATATCCCAAATGAGCGTGAAAGCATTGATTGAATGAGACAAACACAATATTGGAGGTTATTAGAATTTTGAATTTAATGTAATAGAAGTTGATTGCGATTTGTATTTAATAGGAGCTGATTGCGTCCTATTAAATACAAAACGCAATCAGCTCTTATTAAATACAAATCATAATCAACTCCTATTACATTAAATTCAAAATTCAAAATTCAAAAAACTTCCAATATACAAAAAACTGATTGAAGATTTTGCTAATCATTTTTATAATAAATATGCAAGACGAGAATGTTGATTGTAAAAAAAAAGTATTTTAAAAAAATCTTATAAAGTCTCTCAAATTCTAAAATATCTTTTAAAATTTCTAGGATTTTTTATATCAAAAAACTCTTTTAAAATCCTAATCCAATACACCCCTAAGACACGCAAAAATAATCAGAATATAAGAAAGGGATTGGGGTTTCTTCTTGTAGTTCCGCATTCCTCCTCTTACACCGTCACTTTATATTTTTCTCTGTTCTTCAGCTTTGGTTCACTTCAAAACTCGTCAACGTCATTGTGAAAGGGTGTTCCTCCAGCACAAGGTATTACTACTAATACTACTATGCTAATCGCCTCATCGCTTTCTTCTTTTTTGAAAAATTTCCTCGTTTAATCCTCAGCTTTGATTGAATGAAAGAATATAAGAACAAGGACAAAAGATTTTTCCTACTCGTGCCAAAAAAAGTTATTGGCAAACTGGAAATATCATTGAGCATGATAAATAATCGTTTTATAAGAATTATGTTGTAGGAAGAGTGATCGTATTAAGTGTCGTAATTTTTTTTTTCTTCAACTTTTTTGTGTCATGTTAAATGTTAAACGATGAATGAAAAATCTTTTTTTTTTTATTTTTTCTTGGCTTCTGGTTATTTTTTTTTCTTCAAGTTTTTGTGTCATGTTGGGTATGGCTCATATTTCGCATGCTGATGAAGCCCTAATTATCGGGGTCAGCAGAAAGGCAACTTGGGTTAGCAGTTTGGGCTTGGGCCCATGAATAGCTGCTGTTAGGGTTTTCTAATCCTGTTTATATTTTACTTGTAAACCGAGTGACTCGTAACTAGTGGCGGTGAGGAGAATATAGTACATTGGCTGAACCAGGGTAAATCATTGTGCGAATCTCTCTACTCTTATCTCTCTTTTTTTCCTTGATTTTGTGTCACTATCGATTTTTTTCAACACGCTCTAGTGTGTATGTGATTATCGACTTCATCATACAATTCTCATTTGCAGATGTCACATCAATCAGAACGTATACGTGAGTCTGACTTCAAGTACTACGAGCGTATATATATTATGATGATTTGAAGAATGGTTGCTTTACAATCAAAATCTCAAATTCAACATATAGGTGTCCCTTTTGCCTGGACAGGCAGGATTACTCCTCGAGTGAGCTTTTAAAACATGCATCAAGATTTGCCAAGGGTTCACATAGCAGAGAGATAGAAGATAGAGCGAAGCACTCTGCCCTTCAGTTATACATTGAAAGGTATCATGATGTGAATATTACATCCGAACCTGTTGCAAGGATCAATTATTTGTCTGGCCTTGGAAGGGTATTGTTGCTAACATTGCTACGGAAATTAAAACGGAAGGTATGTTGGAGAAAGTGGTACAAAACTAAGGGAGGAGTTTACCCTAAAAGGATTTCGCCCCTTGAGAGTTCATCCTCTGTGGAACCATAATGGACATTCAGGCTTTGCCATTGTCGAATTCAGCACAGAATGGGATGGTTTCACCAATGCTATTAACTTTGAAAGGAGCTTTGAAGCGGAACATTGTGGTAAGAAGGATTACTACAGTTTAAAATGCCGAGGAGATAGACTCTACGAATGGTTGGCCCGCGATGACGACTATCACATGAATAGTATAATTGGTGTTCACCTTCGTAAAAAAGGGGACTTGAAAACTGTTTCTGAAAAACAAGCAGATGACAAAAGGAAAACATCACAGCTTGTCTCGAGTTTAGCTAATACCTTGAAAATGAAGAATAAGGAGTTGGAATGGGTACGAAGCAAATATGATGAGATTGATTTGTCCCTGAACAAAGTGATAGAACAGAAAGAGGAGATGATTAAATCATTTAATAATGGTATGTTGAAACTTCAAATGAATTGTTCTAGTTCGTGTGTGTGTGTGTTTTTTAATTTTTTTAATAGCTTACTGTGTTTCCCTTAGTTGATTGGTGATGTTTTTTTTTGTATGATTATATCTATCCTAATAGCTTGCTGTCTGTTTTACTCTTTAGTGAATTATTCTAGTTCTTTGTGATTTTCTATCTTTATGGTAACTTACTGTGTTTGACCCTGTTCCATCAGAAATACAAAAGATGCAGCAGAGTGACCGTGATCATTTGGAGAAGATTCTTATGGATCATGAAAAAGCCAGATTGCGTCTGGAAGCTCAGAAGAAAGAGCTTCTGAACCGTGAGAAAGATCTGCAGAGGCGTCAAGAACGGAATGAAAATGAGAGAGAGAAGATATATCTGAAGAAGAAAAATGTAAACTATTTTGCCTGTGTAAATTTATCGATAAACGAGTAATTTTGTGTCAAATTTCAAACACCACACCTAATTTTAATAATTTTAAGACTGATGAACTTTTTTCTTCATCTTTTTTTGTTTGCAGAATGAGATGGCAATAATGGAGCAAAACAAGGAAAAATATAATAACTCAATAGGCCCCATAGCCTTATCACACCTAATTGAGTTATTATATTTTGCCTTGTTTTGCTCCATTATTGCCATCTCATTCTGCAAACAAAAAAAGATGAAGAAAAAAGTTCATCAGTCTTAAAATTATTAAAATTAGGTGTGGTGTTTGGAATTTGACACAAAATTACTCGCTTATCCATAAATTTACACAGGCAAAATAGTTTACATTTTTCTTCTTCAGATATATCTTCTCTCTCTCTCATTTTCATTCCGTTCTTGACGCCTCTGCAGATCTTTCTCACGGTTCAGAAGCTCTTTCTTCTGAGCTTCCAGACGCAATCTGGCTTTTTCATGATCCATAAGAATCTTCTCCAAATGATCACGGTCACTCTGCTGCATCTTTTGTATTTCTGATGGAATAGGGTCAAACACAGTAAGTTACCATAAAGATAGAAAATCACAAAGAACTAGAATAATTCACTAAAGAGTAAAACAGACAGCAAGCTATTAGGATAGATATAATCATACAAAAAAAAAACATCACCAATCAACTAAGGGAAACACAGTAAGCTATTAAAAAAATTAAAAAACACACACACACGAACTAGAACAATTCATTTGAAGTTTCAACATACCATTATTAAATGATTTAATCATCTCCTCTTTCTGTTCTATCACTTTGTTCAGGGACAAATCAATCTCATCATATTTGCTTCGTACCCATTCCAACTCCTTATTCTTCATTTTCAAGGTATTAGCTAAACTCGAGACAAGCTGTGATGTTTTCCTTTTGTCATCTGCTTGTTTTTCAGAAACAGTTTTCAAGTCCCCTTTTTTACGAAGGTGAACACCAATTATACTATTCATGTGATAGTCGTCATCGCGGGCCAACCATTCGTAGAGTCTATCTCCTCGGCATTTTAAACTGTAGTAATCCTTCTTACCACAATGTTCCGCTTCAAAGCTCCTTTCAAAGTTAATAGCATTGGTGAAACCATCCCATTCTGTGCTGAAGTCGACAATGGCAAAGCCTGAATGTCCATTATGGTTCCACAGAGGATGAACTCTCAAGGGGCGAAATCCTTTTAGGGTAAACTCCTCCCTTAGTTTTGTACCACTTTCTCCAACATACCTTCCGTTTTAATTTCCGTAGCAATGTTAGCAACAATACCCTTCCAAGGCCAGACAAATAATTGATCCTTGCAACAGGTTCGGATGTAATATTCACATCATGATACCTTTCAATGTATAACTGAAGGGCAAAGTGCTTCGCTCTATCTTCTATCTCTCTGCTATGTGAACCCTTGGCAAATCTTGATGCATGTTTTAAAAGCTCACTCGAGGAGTAATCCTGCCTGTCCAGGCAAAAGGGACACCTATATGTTGAATTTGAGATTTTGATTGTAAAGCAACCATTCTTCAAATCATCATAATATCTACGCTCGTAGTACTTGAAGTCAGACTCACGTATACGTTCTGATTGATGTGACATCTGCAAATGAGAATTGTATGATGAAGTCGATAATCACATACACACTAGAGCGTGTTGAAAAAAATCGATAGTGACACAAAATCAAGGAAAAAAAGAGAGATTCGCACAATGATTTACCCTGGTTCAGCCAATGTACTACATTCTCCTCACCGCCACTAGTTACGAGTCACTCGATTTACAAGTAAAATATAAACAGGATTAGAAAACCCTAACAGCAGCTATTCATGGGCCCAAGCCCAAACTGCTAACCCCAGTTGCCTTTCTGTTGACCCCGATAATTAGGGCTTCATCAGCATGCGAAATATGAGCCATACCCAACATGACACAAAAACTTGAAGAAAAAAAAATAACCAGAAGCCAAGAAAAAATGAAAAAAAGGTTTTTCATTCATCGTTTAACTTTTAACATGACACAAAAAAGTTGAAGAAAAAAATAATTACGACACTTAATACAATCACTCTTCCTACAACATAATTCTTATAAAACGATTATTTATCATGCTCAATGATATTTCCAGTTTGCCAATAACTTTTTTTGGCACGAGTAGGAAAAATCTTTTGTCCTTGTTCTTATATTCTTTCATTCAATCAAAGCTGAGGATTAAACGAGGAAATTTTTCAAAAAAGAAGAAAGCGATGAGGCGATTAGCATAGTAGTATTAGTAGTAATACCTTGTGCTGGAGGAACACCCTTTCACAATGACGTTGACGAGTTTTGAAGTGAACCAAAGCTGAAGAACAGAGAAAAATATAACGTGACGGTGTAAAAGGAGGAATGCGGAACTACAAGAAGAAACCCTAATCCCTTTCTTATATTCTGATTATTTTTGCGTGTCTTAGGGGTGTATTGGATTAGGATTTTAAAAGAGTTTTTTGATATAAAAAATCCTAGAAATTTTAAAAGACATTTTAGAATTTGAGAGACTTTATAAGATTTTTTTAAAATACTTTTTTTTACAATCAACATTCCCGTCTTGCATATTTATCATAAAAATGATTAGCAAAATCTTCAATCAATTTTTTGTGTATTGGAAGTTTTTTGAATTTTGAATTTTGAATTTAATGTAATAGGAGTTGATTGTGATTTGTATTTAATAAGAGCTGATTGTGTTTTGTATTTAATAGGACGCAATCAGCTCCTATTAAATACAAATCGTAATCAACTTCTATTACATTAAATTGAAAATTCTAATAACCTCCAATATCGTGTTTGTCTCATTCAATCAATGCTTTCACGCTCATTTGAGATATTTAATCAATTAAATATAAGTTTTAATCGATTAAATCAATTAAGAGGGATATTTAATCGATTAAGAGGGATATTTAATCGATTAAATCTTCAAGTCAATAATTTTTTGCTAGTTTTGACCATTTAATCGATTAAATCTTCAAGTTAATCGATTAAAGAGGGGCAGATTGGTAGATAGTTTTGGATAAGTGGCAAAATAATTATTAGTTAATTAACGAAGGGAAAAAGGGTAAAAAAAACCTTCAACTACGATATAAGGATGCTATTATTTTAAAAATAGAAAAAATTATATAGAAACATAAAAAAAAAGTAAGCGATGATTCAAATAGGGGTGTTCATCAACTGATCCAAACCGATTCAAACCGTGGTGATCGAACCGAAAAACCGATAACCGAATAAACCGAAAACAAAAAAATCAAAAACCGAAGAAGAACCGCAAATTTTAATTGGATTGGATCGGTTTTAAAAAACCGATCCAATCCAAACCGATCCAATATATTAATTTCTCTCACCTACTTGGGTCTTTTCCTAATCATAACTCAAAAATTCTAAACCCAAGACCCATTAACCCATAAACTAAATCCAAAAAAAAAAACTAGTCACATCTTATCAACAAAATTTCATCTATGTAGAAGTTCATATATATCTCATTTTCCAAAAAAAAAACTATATTATCATTTATTTATGCTTTTGTATTTAAAAAAAAATTACAAAACCAATATATACAAAAGATGTTATTTGCACAATAATCAGAAAACAATATTTAGGATTTTCAAAAAACCGAAAACCGAACCAATCTAAACCGAAAAAAATTGGATTGGATTGGATCGAATTTGAAAAAAAATCAAACCAAATGAATGAGTACATGATCAAACTGAAAGAATTGGATCGGATGATTTTTGCTTCCAAAATCGATTCAATCCAAACCGCGAACACTCTAGATTCAAATAATCTGTACCCGTGTAAACCACCTTGGGAGTTGTTGTGACTATAGTCGAAATGGTTTTGAGCATTGCTAAAAGGCCCGAACTCCCCTCAAAATTGTGAATGAAATAATTCCATAAACAGTTTATCTAGAAGTCAAGTTGTAGTAGAGAGAAAAGCTTATTACCTCCACCGACTGCGTGCAGTACTGGTTTCATTATTATTCTAAGCTTAAAAATTGTTAGGTAATTATATAAAGTTATTTTGAGAATTTTAAAGAAGGAAAGATAAAATAATTTATTATTAAGATGGATTATTGGGATAAAGAATAAAATTGATAAATAGAAATTTAGAATAATAATGAAACTAAAAAACAAATATGAGAACTCAAAAAAAGTTAATATATATTTAGCTTTTACTTTTTTTATTCATTATAACAAAAAGCTCTTTTTATAATAAAACCTTTTGTAAAAACATATTTAACTTATAAAAAGGTAAAAACAAAGCCACTCAACCAAATAGATGTACCAAAAACAATTTGATAACCCACCAATAACAGCCATGCCAATATTGATGAAGAAAATAGTCATAAAAGGTTTGAAATTGCAATAGATCTGATGATGGATAAAATGAAGGGAAATATTTTATTTATAATATCATATCATTCATATGTGAGATCACACCTAACAATCAATGCAAAGTCAAACAAGCCAATAAAGCATAACGCCCATAACTTTTAAGTGCAATTGGCAATTGCACAAATGCATTTGAAGACCTCACAAGCACGTCATGGGCATTTTAGTAAAATAGTAAACCATAACGACTGCTCTTTACTTTAGTGATTAGTCTTTTACACATTGTAACGAATACATATCGAAAGAAAGCCATCATGCAGTCTATAAAAATGGATCACTCATCAAGATAATCATACCGTTACTTCATACATGCAGATGCAATGATTCCATATTAAAACAACAATGTTGATGAACTAACAACCACTCAATATCCTCGACTCGAGGAAGTTTTGTAAGGAAATGTGTGTGGAAATTGATTTGAGAAGAAAATTAGTTGCAGGTTTCAAAGCATTGAAACAATATTTTGGAGTATGAAGGTCTGATCCGCTTAATTTAAAAGATTATTGTGATATAGCAAGATAATTTTTTAAAGAATTAATTTAATTACAAAAATTTTCAACAACACACTAATTTTCAAGAAAATAATTTAATAATTAAAAAAAATAGCGGTGTATTGGATTAGGATTTTAAAAGACTTTTTTGAGATAAAAAATCCTACAAATTTTAAAAGACATTTTAGAATTGGAGAGACTTTATAGACATTTTTAAAAGAGTTTTTTTACAATCAAGATTTCATAGGATTGGATTTTAAAGGATTTTAAAGGATTTTAATAGAATTCATAAGATTTAAAAAGACAATATGGATTTATAAGATTTTAAAAATTATATGAATTTTTAAAAAATATTCAAAATTACAAGAGTCAATAAAAACAAATAACAAAGAGATTAATAAAAAAAAAAAGTAAACTTAAAAATGAGTTGAAAATTATCTCAAAAATTACTAAGCAACAACTCTTCACATATCAATAAAATCTAATATAATTTTCTCAATGAGTTTGAGTTTGATTTATCATATGCATATTTTCATTGAATATTCTAAGAAAATTTTGAATATGAAATTTTTGGTTTAATTACATGAAAGTTTAGAAAATTTCTCAAAAAAATTTCAGTCGATACATTGAAACCTTAAATTGCTTTGGGGCTTTTGAGAAACAAGTTTTTAGTTATCTATTGACACAAAAATTATTTGAAATCGTTTCCTATAGTGAAGGAATTTCGTTCGTGAATGTATTGTTACGAAATATAGGGTTCATATTATGAAAGTTTCAATCTTTCTTTAAATTGATATTGTTTCATTGACGTAAAACGAAAATTGGTTTGAGTGTTTTAGTTTTCCTGTTACTTTTTAATACAAAAGTCACAAATTTTTGTGCCAAGAAAAACCGCGACCCATAGCTTGAAAAATCACTTTTTAAACTTCCAAAATTTCTCAAAAATGGCTCAAAAATAAGTTATTTTTGAGATAGGTTATATTAAAATCTCGTTGGTTTGTTGTTTCTGGGTTGTTTTGAGATGAAAATTGCTCAAAAATATGTTTTTTTTTTGTTTTGATGAAGCTCCCATGACGGAACCCAATTTCGAGCAGTCAACCTGTCAAAGTAAAAATTAGGGTGAGATTGTGAGAAAGGCATCCTATTTATATTTTTCACTAAAAAGTCTCACGAAATACACACCAATAAAAAATCCATTAAAATCGTCGGATTTGTGAATACCACGAGATTGTGATTCCATTGTTTAAAATCCTGATTGAATACCAACGGATTTGGACGGATTCTAAAATAATCTTTTAAAATCCTAATCGAATACCACGTGACTTTTTTTCAATCTATTAAAATCCTAATCGAATATCAACGGATTTTTTTTTGTCCAAAAACAGTCCATTAAAATCCTTTGAAGTCCCAATCCAATACACCCCATAACTGTTTCCTCCAATACCTTGAATACAATCAAATTGCACACGCTAAGTTCAACTTATAGCAAAAAAAACCTGTTTAGAAAGATATACAAAAAATCATAAATGCACGCAATACAAATTGTTAAGTGCTAACCTATAGTTAAGGAAGTGGCTCTCGCCTTGACAGGAGAATGAGCATCGGATTGCTAGGGTTTCGATCGTCAAGGCTTTGGTTTCTGAAAGTTTCATTTCACCACCGCGTCTATATCGTTACCTCATATACTGCATTTTCCATCGTACGAAATACTTAAAATTCTGTGCTTTTTTCAGTATGGATTAAAAAAATAAAAATAATCTGAGCATGTGTATGAGGAAGAAGGAGCTAAGATGGCGAACCTCGTTGATCTTTCTTTTATCTTGCATCGGTGAATCTGACTGTCAAGTATTGTACTATGGCTTTCTGATTCGGGATGAGGTTGAAAAGGGGGAGTAAGGTGAGAAAGAGGTTGAAAAGATAAGTTTTTTTCAGTGTAGTGTCATGCAAATAAGATGGAAAGATATTTGGAATCGAGGGTCATGACAACAAGGTATCTGAAACGGTTGGGTGTTAT